ATCAAATTATCTCTAAATTATTTATTAAAATAAATAACTCATTATTTAACTTATAATATCATTACATATCAATTTTTTATTAAAAAATATTTAAGTAACAAATAAAATTTTAACATGTAATGATATCACAGCTTAAATAATAAGTAATTTATTTTAATTAATAATTTATAAAAATAATCTATTTTTATTTTTTAAGACAAGTTTATTTTTATCTTTCTATTTAAAAAGTAAATTTAAGAGCTTTATTTTTAAATGATATTCACTATAATCATTAATTTTTTAATTTTTAAGTATAACAACTAAAACTTAAGTTCTTTAGAATTAATTGCCTTAAATTTTTTTTTTTGAGCATAATTGCCTTAAATTTTTAATTTAAAAAGGCCCAAAACTTAATTAAATTCTACTCATTAGTTAGTATAATTTTGGCCGCTTTAAAATATTTTTGGTTGCAAAATTTTCCGCCACCTAACGCTAACACGCTTGGACAGGACCATCACCTGTCTGACTATCCATCCTTTATTATTGGAGCATCCCACTTCCCCATTCTCCAGTTCCACGCGCATCACGGGTGTCGCCTTTGAGTCACAAACGCCAATCCCCCCGCGCGTGTTCTCACCGGCGCGTAGCCACCATATAATCCATGTGGCCAGTAGCCACCATGATCACCGCATTTTTAGCATTCTCAATTTTTTTATTTATTCCTTCAGCCAAAAGAAATATTTATATTCCCGTTAATAAAAAAAAAAAAAAAACACTTGGGCAAAGTTACCAAAGTAGATGTTTTTATTTCCTCAACCTTTTAGGTAATCTGTCAGTTTTGCACCCCACTTATTTTCCCTACTAATTACACCCCCAATCATTTCAAAATTAATTAAGCTAGTACCATTTAAACAATTTTACTTAAATATTGTATGGTAGTAATCAATTCTCTTAAATTTGGAGAGTTTAAAGAGAAAGCTCTTAGGACTATGTTTTATTATTATTATTTTTTTGTCAATGTTTCAAAAATTATGGGCTGCTACATTATTTCAACCATATCATTAATGTATAATGTACATTGCCATTGTGTAGGTTAAACACAAGACTAGGTCCAATGCAATCAATTGTATTTAAACCAAGAACTAACCTATAAACAATCAAAATAAAAGTTGGTTACAAATTAGATATGATAAATTGGACTCAAAATTGAAACCAATCCTAAAATTTGTCAATGCCCAAATAAAATTGGACTTATTTTTTAACTTTGTTGTACTTTAATTGATTAGATAACCTTAACTGACTAAGTGTTATCAATATTGCTACATTTTTTAAAAATAAAACTAAACTTATTAGGTTTATACTATAATTGAATAGAAATTAAGTTGGAATTAACCTACATTTATAGCAAGCTAACTGTGGTACTACATCTTGTAAAATCAATAGGTCCAAAATGGTTAGCTCAAGATTAGAA